TCACTGTAGAGATGGAATAAACTTTTTCACCGAGCCACCATGTGCCTTTCTTCTCCAGGGAGGCAGAACAGGGTTCCTGCCTTCTCCCGGAGGGCTGGGGTGGAGGGTTTCCAGGCAGGAAAACAGCAGGACAGCCCCGGCCAACTGCTGCACTGCAAACAGCACACTCATGCTGGCGTCTATTTTTAGGCAAGCCCTCCTGCTCCTCGCAGCCCGTTTGGTGGAGGCTTGAGCAGGGACCTCCAGCGGGCACCCCTGCCACCAGCTGTCCAGCCCCAGCTGCTGCCGTCAGCACTGTTAACTGCAGGGGAGGCTTTCTGCAGCAGTTCGGTATAAAACACACACAGACAATTTCAATAAGTTGTTTATTAACCCAAACCAGTAGCAGTGCTGCCCTCCCCGTCCCTAAGGGGAAAGCCCAGGCCTGGCAACAAAGTGCTTGTGAGTACTGCAGCTGTCTTCGCTTCAAGTGACACAGAGGGAGCAGGGGCTGTCAGACACTTGTAAGCTCCAGGGAGGTGCCTCCTCCAAGCTGGAGGATGTAGAAAACAGAGCGCACTGCATTGCACATGGAGATTTGGCCCGGCCAGAGCCAAGAGCTGCTGCTTGGAGCCTGTGGATGCACTTTTGTAAGGAGAAAGGGGAAAAAAGACCCCAAACACCAAACCTTCCAGAAGCCAAGTCAGGCAAAGGGGGAAGAGGATCCTTCAGTCAATTTACAGCAGAGGAAGAATCAGCCTTGAGAATTTTTGGAGGGCTCAGGAGGGAGCAAGATACATGACTAGAGTTGAGAACCTTCCACTCAAAGCAGAGGACCTTTTCCAAGTAGCTGCATCTTCACAGTAACAGTAGCCCAAACCTTCATAGATTAAGTCCTGAGTCTCCAAACCCTCCACAGGTCAGTAAGCACCAGAGTGGCAGCACCAAGCTTGGACCTGAGCAAAACCACCCTGGTTTTGGAGCAGTGACTCTTCCTGAAGTGAAGTCTCGTTCTTCCAAAAAGACTGTCTTAACACACAGACTACTACTAGACTACTACTCGCCCTTTTAAGCTCAAAAGCTAGGAAGAACCTGCTGCCAGGCTGTCAAGTCAAGCCTTCCTTTCCCCCTCTTCTGTTTCAACAGAAGTTTACAAGACAGTTACAGCAAGTGAGCGTCACAGCAAACGGACAGGCCACGCACAGTCGTAAAAGGGACTGCTGAGGGCCAGGCTGCTGCTACGTGTCAGCTGAAAAGTTGTGCCACAGCTCTACAACAAGGGACGGGTTTTCTCCTCAGACCGCGTTAAAAAAGGAAGTGGCTTTAAAATACGAAGTTACTGTACATTGTCTTAAGAAACCTGGAATTTAGCAACAGAGCACAAGAGTAAAGAACCAGTTGCGTTCACAGGCAAGAGTGCCAGTTTGAACAGAGCAGGAGAGACGGCCAAAACTATGGTGGGTGACGGAAGCCCTGCAGCCTGGCTTGCTGCGACAGTTTTCCAGGACCTGTTTGTGTGGCAGCACTCTCTCTTTTCCATGTTCTGAGAAAGGAACTCACTTTTAGTCAAGCTCCCAGTTCAGCTCCCCCCTGGGCATCAGGTCCAGTTGATCCTCCTCTTCCCTGGCGCTCAGTGCAGAGGAGCAGCAGCTTGGCTTGGCAGGTGGAGCTAAGACACTTACAGTTTCGCTAAAAGCAGGGGAAGCCAGATCCAGCATCTGGGAGCTGCAGCATTCAGCTTCCTTCCTCACGTTTTTCCCCATGCAGGAGCTGAGCAGTCAAGAAGCAAAGATCTTCCGGGAGACAGCCACGTCCCGCTGCTTCACCCCCACGGGCACGTTCTCTTTGTTTTCCGACCCAAGCTGCTGAGGCCGCTTGCAGAAGTAGCAGGCTCGGCAGACAGAATGGTACTTATCTGCTCCTCCAATCACTTCAACCTGGCAAGGAAATTGAGAGTGCGACTCTGTAGAGCCCAGTTTCCCTGAGGAGATCTCTCTAGACCGGCAGGACTGGCAAGATGAAACTACTGAAGTGCTTTCTGTTCCAAGGCAACTTACCTCCCTCTCTGCTCCCAGCCTCTTCGTGTAGGACGCTTCTCGGTAGCACTCCATGCACACGGCATTCAGCTTCACCACGCTCTCTGCCAGCGGGACCAGGTTCAGGATGTTCCCGAAAGCCTGTGCCAGGACAGCAAGGGCAGTTCTGTTGGATAGGTTCTATGAGGATCCCAAAGCAGCTGCTGTACTGAAAAAACACATTTACCTTTCTCTGGAAAGTCCCATCAAGCGCAGCAACGATGACTGTTTTCCCAGCATTGGCCATCATCTCACAGAACTCCACAATGTCTGGGAACTAGAGGAGGTACAGAAAGAGCGTTAGGAGGAAGAAGGAGCAGCACGTCACTCAGGATCCAGCGGCCCACGCCCCGACAGTAGCACAGGACACACAGAAAATTAGAGCCATGTCGCCCACCTGCGAAATGGACTCCAGGCCCACTGTGCTCAGCCTGCAGGGACTAAGGGGAGGGTTTGACTACCCAAGCATAGTCCAGCAGGATCCACCCACCCCTGGGTATTGCTTCTTCCCACCCTCTCCTAGAGGATTCAGACTGTCCTCCACACCAGGTGCTCTGAAGAGACCACATCCTGCAGAGCTCCCCAGGATCTGCCCTGGCCGTGCACTTACGAACTGGCCCTCGTCAATGCCGATGACTGCAGAGCCCAGAGCCTCCTGGTACACGTCCTTGAGCAGGCAGGCGGGCAGGGCCTCCATGGTGTTCCTGCGGGGAGCGCAGAGGAGGGTGAGCCGGGCAGCCCCGCT